TCCGTTGTGTACACAATACATTCTTCCTACTACTCTGGCCTTTAAAGACTTCCCCTCAGCACTAAGTAGCCATGGTCTGAAGATCTTAGTAGCTGGGTTTGCCTCACTTAACCCCTGCGATAACACTATGCAAGTTCTCAACTACAACAGCAAGCACCCAATCGGTCACAAAAGCAGCTGCGTAAGAGCGCTTTAGCGGCGCGTTGAGACGCATTGCAGCGAAATGGAAGACAACGTTGCTGAATCACAAAACCTTCGACGGGTACTGAGAGCGAATGGTTACTTGCGCAATTTCGTCAACCAATGTATACGTAAACGAAAGAAGACGCCACATCCAACTGGCTTAAAAGTTTGGCGAGCTCTTCCGTACGTAAAGAATGTGTCGGAAATGGTAGGCCGCCTACTCACCCCAATTGGAGTTGAAGTTGTGCACAGACCAGCAGCAACCATTAGGCGTCGGGTCATGAGACCGAAAGATTCACTGCCATGGCAGAAAACCGCTGGAGTCGTTTACCGGATCTGGTGCAGTTGTGGACAAAACAACTACGTCGAAGGAACCGGAAGATTACTCCGGACGCGAATAGCCGAGTATGCAGCGGCGGTGAGGAAGAAGGACGCAAACTCCCAGACTGCAGCTCAGCCAGCCATATTTTCAAGTTTGACGAGGCCGAAATCCTCGCAAGAGGTGGCAACCGCGTGAGCAGCGAACTGCTGGAGTCATGGTTCTCAGGCCCCCAGTCCATCAACGAGCGCAACGGTTTTGGCGGTCCCATACGGTATACTGGGCAGTTTCGTGAGCAAGTAATCAGTCATGTGGGAAGGGCCGGGCGCAGCAACATCTCTGACGACAGCGAGCGTAATTGGTACGCAATTATCAGGGGATCTCCTAAATTCCCGATGGTCCTTTCTCGGAGTCCTGGAGAAAGCTAACCGGAAAATGTGAGAAGAATAAAAGTTTAATAGAATCAGTGTTAAGATAAATGTGCAGTATTCGCTTGAAAGCAGATAGTCTACTTAACAACCGACATTTAATGTTCTAAGTTATTCCAAAGAAAGCATTATAAGCAAGTAAAACATAAAGAGCGTTTAGATAAGGAGGATGCAGGACGAGGTATAACAAATGCAGAGTTTCCTAGGTTGTAGAAACGGCTGACGGGGGTAATGACAGAAAGCTTGGGGAGATTTGTACTACTATTAGAGCGAAAAAGGAGACAAAATCCAATCTTCTGACCCAAAGAAATCCTAGTTTCTTCAACTGGCATCTATTTGAGTAAGAAGTACTGGAAAATTTCAGAGAAAGCAGTTTTCTTGTGAAAAGCCCTTGGACGCTTTCAATTTTTTAACGGCTAAATTAGTTAATCAGACCAAAGAATGGGCAACAGTATTCTAAGATGGGAAACACAAACATAGGATAAAGTGTTAATTTAATTGCAGTAAGATATAAATTATGAGAAATAAAACCGCAAGTCTGTGCAGATTTGGCCGTTATTCTATCGGCGTGAAGAGAAAGATATAATTTATTGGTGTAGCTCAAACCTAGGTCCTTGATTTTGGAACATTCAGTCATTGGGCGACCTTGAAAAATAACATGTAATGGCAGCCTTTCAGGCCCAAAACACATGTATCGGCACTTAGAAGGTGAGAACTCCATCTGCCCCTTTGAGCTCCACGCAGAAGGAGCGTTCAAATCAGAATGTATCTGTTCTAAGCATGTCGAGGCCATAGTGTTAGAGAAGGACTAAACACACTTAAGATCATCCACATAAATATAAGATTGAGAGTGTTTAACGCGCAATGAAATACCATGCACGTAAAACAAGAACAACAAGGGACTTAGATGGTACCTTGAAGGACACCACTCAAAATTGCGGTAGCAGTAGAGTATGAGGATACCACTAAGACCCCTTGTTTTCAATTCGATAGATATGATCTGATGAAGTCAGTATGACGACCACGAAATCCCATAGCCTCTACTTTGGCTAGAAGCCGCCTATGAGGTACTTTTTAGAATTCTTTACTAAGATCAAAATAGATAACTACCACAGATAAATTATCATTACGAAGAGAAGTAAGTAGGTTTAGAAAAGAAATGTGGCATGTTTCACAAGATCGGTCCGGTAAAAAGCCATGCAGTTAGGAGCTGAGCATTTTATTGACGATGCAAAAATCTGCAATAATTTCGGCAATTAGTTTTTCAAAGAGTTAAGCCAGAGAGGGCGTTTTATGAACACTGCGACAATTATGAATATCCGAGCGGGAACCAGATTTAAAAACGGGAATTATAATATAAGTTTTCCGGTAGTCCGGAAAAAAACCATTCTCAAGTAATACTGGAAATAATTTACTTAGTAAAAGTGGAAAATAGCTTATTTTTTTACTAAATGAGTTTGGGATGTTACCAGTTCCAACCGAATACGAATTTTTAAGACGGCTTATTTCTTTTTGAATGCTATTGGGTGGGAAATACATGGTAGTGAGATTTGAATCACACAGCAAAGATATTGCAAGAGTGGGGCTAGTTTAGGTGGTGAGAGAAAACTTGGTTCAAGTTCCAGAAGCTTGTCCGTAGCATGAAAACCAAATAGTTAGGCTCGGCGAACCGAACCCATAGGAACGCCACTAGCCCCGCAGATCCAGTTCGAGTTATTCTCTTCGATATAGACGCGTAATTTGTATTGAAAAAGAAACGCACTTATCCCATTTGCGAAACGTATTTTGATATCAACCACGTTTAAATTATGTATGTTACTTTGATGGTGGGCAACTTGGAAGGATTTAAGAAATCGATGGATACGGCGCCATCGTTTAAATCTTTTTAGTAAACACAGGTTGATACCTCCAGAGAAGTGAGCAAATGTAGGAAACAGTAATGGCATCATTATGTTGGTAATTAAGTAGAACTTTTTTGAGCTGCAGCTAGCCAACGTACCTTATGGTGGACTTTTCATTTACATACCACTCAGAAAGTTTTAGCCTTTCCGTCTTTGAATTGTAACGGTCCAGGAAGGTAGCCTCCCTAAAATCAAAACTGTGGTCAGTTTCTGGAACGTCTGCAGCAGGTTCTGAGTTAAGATCTAGCCCCGGAGTTGCCAATTGGCGCTTCTATGGGCGAGTCTGCCAATTCCGCCCTTTTTCTCAACGTAATTGCAGGTTCTTTCATTGCAACGTATTTTGGAGTGAATGTAAAGGTTGCTGCCAGTGAAAGCATGTCCTAAGCAGTGACTTGTTGCGCTACGTCGGGGAACTTTGCCATCCGCGTTTGGTTGTAGAGGTTGAAAAACCGCCTTACCTACTCCTTTAAGGCAGGCAATGAACCTCCAGACTTCAGATTGCTGGTCCCTCGGCAGTCGTCTGTTCACTTGGGCCCGCTGTTCTAGTCAAAATTTTAAGGATATTCATTAGCACTGAAAAGATTCTGAAGGCACTGCCGTTCAGTTATTTTGCCTGCTGACTAACAGGGCACGGCGCACTATTCCCAGTTCTGTTTATTTCACTGCAGTTAACGATTTTACAATGGTGAGCCACTCAAACCCTCCCACACATCAACATAGGACAAAATCTGATCTGATGAGCCTATCCTTACTCTGGTACATCTGCAAGAGGAAATGATTTAAATAATGTAAAAAAGGACTTATTAGGAGGTGGAATACCATTAGTAATACTGACATTATATGGCATTTCTCCGGCATAGCGATAGTTCGCGCAGTGAGGTTCTGCCTGTGGTCAGCGCATTCTAGTATTCTAGGCGAATATGTCCTTAACTTTCGTGGCAGACGTTTCTCTCAAATAAAGTAAGACATAATGATGACGCTTCACTATTCGATCAAGAATCAGAATTTTCAATGATAAATATCAAAGGTGGGACAACAAAAGGCCTGATAATAAAACCAAATAGCGTCTTTTCAACAGATGTTTTATTAATTACAACACTTTCTAAAGTGTGTTCATATACGTTTTAACCTACAGAGCTTCTGACGAGCAATAACGAGGCCCTCCGGGCCTAAAATATAAAATTTATTTATTTATTTATTTATATATCAGAGGCAGAGATTAAACGTACTAAGGACGGTACTAAGGGTCGGTCAGACGACCGAAATTCACGCCTGCTGCAGGAAGCATGATATTCACGCACGGACTCAACTAACAGGCATATCGAGCTTCCTGCTGCCTACCTTACGTTGCGCGAGCAGATCGAGGGCCTGGGTCAAGGGCAGAGGTCACTCCCGGCAGAACCGAGTTAAATAAACATTGAGCTGTGCATTTTTTAATTCCCTGACAATGAGCTCACGGGTGG